GGTCTGAGATTCTGATATGGTGAATTGGAGAAAAACAACAATTATTTTTCCCCTTGATTTTGAGAAATAAGAAAGATGACTTGAGATTTTTTTTTGAGAAGTTTTTGATCTTTCAAATTGAAGGAAGAATTTCGGTCCGGCGGGCGACTAATGGCGGTGCCGCCTGCCAGGAGCGAGCACGGAGAATTTTAGGTCACCAAGAGTGTTGGCTCTGATACCATGTTGAAATATTAGAATAACAATATTGCTCATTGAACTATGTAGTACATGATAGAGTATATATATACGAGGGACTCCTAACACAACTAAAAATAGAGAATAGAAACTCACTAAAATACTACGTCTACCATAAATAGGAATACGAAGATGACTATTAATCTTCAAACACTACCATAATAATACTACTATAAGTAGTATTACTATTATGAGGCCGGTTCCCATGACATTGGGAACCAATGTCATGGGATGACCCACGGGTGCTCCGGTGCCCCGTTCGTAAAATTGACAGTTCGTACCCCCTAACCCCAGTAACCCCCCACCCCGCCCCGACCCAAACACACCCCCCCACCCCCTTCAATTGCACCCCCTTAGTTAATTTTGACTTGGAGTCAAAATTTGACTCCAAAGTCACAATTAACTTGGGGGTGCAATTGAAGGGGGTGGGGGGTGTGTGCGGGTCGGGGCGAGGTGCGGGTTTACTGGGGGTTAGGGGGTAGGAACTATTAATTTTACGAACAGGACATCGTCATTGTCTAACAGTTAGAGTCCAATAAAAGTATAGAACATAAACTAATTATAGAATAGGAACCAAGGGGTACTATTATTGTCTAATAGTTAGAGTCCAATAAAAGTATAGAACATAAACTAATTATAAATGAAAAAGAAAATAATGAGTAATTATTAAATAAGAATATTATTATTATTATTAAAGTAATAAAATTGAAAAGGTAGGATTATAAAAGCGTAGAATGAGATTAGGGAAATTTTGCAATTTTAGAAAAATAAGGGAAACTTATTAACTAATCATATGTAGAAGTATTATGTGGCATAGAAGTACAAATGTCAATTTTTTGAATGGAGTGCCATGGATGCCCTCTCAATTGCAAAGGCACCAAAGAAAAAACCTACCAAAATTAGATGATGAGGAGGGCGAGACTCTAGAGGTGAGAGGTTAATGATAAGGGAACTAAAACTCATTAAAACGAACATGAAGCGTGACATAGACCCTGAAAGTGGACAGATCATAGTATCAATACCCTTTGGTTATGGGTTAATATCCAACAAAGACACATGGTTTAGAACGCGGTTGAAGTTAATGGTCAAGCATTTGACGAAGGATTATATTGGTGAGCCAAGGATTTTTTTAGAAATACGGTTGGTGAGAAAATTTACAGTGACGAGGGCCTCGGCTCAGAAGGTAGAAGGTAGATTGATGGTATGGAGATTGGAGAAGATGATTACAGTTCTAATGAGATGACTATGTTTGCATTCTGTCACTTGATTTTGTTTAGGGGCATAAGGACAAGTTTAATTTTGTGGTGAAGAATGCCAAGGATTTGAAGGAAATGATCAAACTATTTGTTGATGTATTCTTTGCCATTATTAATTGAGAAAAATTTAATTGTGGTGTCAAATTGACTTTGAACCATGAACTGAAAACTTTGAAAAGAATCAAAAGCCTCGGACTTTTGTTTTAATGGATATAATCAAGAAAACTTTGTAAAATCATCAATAAATAAGATACAATATCGATAACCACCAAAGGAAGGAACAGAGGTAGGTCTCGAAACATCACATTGTATTAATTGATACAGAAAAGTAACAGCATTATATGAGGATGAGAAGGGTAATTTATGGGATTTAGAAACATAAGAAAAATCACAAGACAATATATATGATGAAGAGGAAAACCGAAAAAAGAAAGTACACTATTTGTAATTTCTAAAGAATGATGCTGCAACCAACGATGCTAGTCTTGAGAGGTGAGAACGGCCAATCACAAAGATGGAGACGCCGCAGGAGACTCTAACACATGATAATTGAAGGTAATATATAAAGTCCTTGCTCACAATGGCCTCGGTGTATCACCCGATGTGTGTTGTTGCCCAAGATCTTAAGTTCAATAGGGTTAAAAAGCAGGGTACAATTATTATCTTTGGTGAATCGGTAAACAAAGAGAAGGTGAGCTATTAGGGATGAGACATGCAAAAGGTTACCAAGGTGAAAAAGGTCAGAGGAGGTGGATATTTTACCTGAGCCCACATGAGCAATAGGTAGAGGGTGACAACTTTCACTAATGATAGTCTTAGTACAAGAATATAAAGTGTTAGCACTTGTATCTAAAAATTAGTTTCCTTTTGAAGTAGAAGATAATTGAGTCACATAAAATGCTTTTGGGGATGAAGTAGAAGACATTCATGCATATTCAGAATCAAAACGTACGAAATAAGACTTCCTCATTGATCCAGCTCTACAGCCCCTTTAAAATTCGGTTATCCATTCTGTGATCAGCGAGACAAGTAGATATAGCATATTATGTGTAACACCCCGAAATATACCCTAAACTTTTATAATGAATTTTTAATAAATTATACTTCTAATTTTCATTTAAATTAAATAAACATTGAAATCAAAACACTAAAATAAGATATTTCAAAGTAATCTTTTAATCGTCATGTTTATAGTCGAATTGAAGGTCTGAGATGGTCTTAGAAGGTCTCAGCGAGATGAGTTCAACGACGAATTTCCGCGCCAAATCCGAGTTACGAAAGTGAGGGGTATGATCATCCAAAACCAAAAAGATTATAAAGAAATGAATAAAATATAAATATGACGTAAACACAATATTATCTAATCTTTTTGGATAGGTCTCGCAAAAAGATGACTAACGACATATTGTTTGTCAAGTTTGAAATTGTGTAAAACGCTATGAGTAAAATAGACGTTATAGTTCAATAAATAAATGTAAAGAATCACTACGCCAAAAACAGTATCAGACCACTGTTGATTAACTATTGTTTATGGAAACACAGTAGTTAAAAAAACAGACTATTGTGAATTTTCCGTGGCTACAGATCAGTAGTCTAGCACTACAAACACAGACTAGTTGTCTCTGTCAGTTCAAAATACAGTTTTTGTTGCAACAGTTGTCAATAACAAGTTATGAATACTCTATTTAAACATTAGTATGATGTTTTAGTCTAGAATTGTTTTTAAACTTATTAGACAGAGTTATCTATTGCTAGTTGTCTGTTTCATATGATTTTTTTGCCACCGTTGTTTTTTAAATGGGAATAAAAAACTCTTTTGTAACCGTTGTCTATGAATTAAGGGTAGAAATGTTTTTAAAGTTGTCAGAAACGGTAATCTTTTATTAGTAGTCCGTTTCACCTAAAAATACAGTTTTTGTTGCCACAGTTGTCAATAATTAGTTAAGACTACTATTTCTAAACAGTAGTCTGGTTTTTCAGTTTATAACTGTTTTTAAACTTATAAGAAATAGTATTATATTGTTAGTTGTATGTTTCATATGGTTTTGTTTTTCATAGTTGTTTATTATAAGAATAGAAGACTCCCTTGTAACAGTAATATATTTATATAGCGTAGAACTATTTTTAAAATTCATAGAAACCGTAATCTATTACAAGTTGTTAATAATAAATTAAGAATACCCTTTTTAAATACTCCATCCGTCCGGAAATGTTCTTCCCATTTGACTTTTTACGGTCTCCAAGATTGCACTTTGACCACTAATATCTTTATTTATACAAGAATATTTTTTTAAAAAAATTGATATTTGAAAACTATATTTCAAAATGAATATATTCATATTGAAGTTATATCGTAATACAATGTACTTTTTCCACATATCATAGTCAAAGTTTGCAAACTTTGACCAAGAAAAGTCAAATGGGAAGATTATTTCCGGACGGAGGGAGTAGTAGTTAGACTATTAATCCTAGAACTGTTTTCAAAGTTTTGAGAAACCGTAATGTATTACTAGTAGTGTGTCACACTATTTTTTCACGGTTATCTATAATAAGTAAAGAAAACTATTTTTAAAAGAATTATGCGTACTAAGCCTAGAACTATTTTAAAAGTTAAGAATATTCGTTTTAAATAGTAGTCTAGCTCTTAAGCCTAGAAGTATTTTAAAGGTTCAAAGTAACGATAATCTTTTTTACAATGAAAATGGATACGCTCTCTAACTTTAATTTCATACTTTCGGACAATATATGTACAACAATCAAATAAACATTGTTTCAAACAATTATATGGACATGATAAAATAAACACTTCCATTGAAACGAAAGAAAAAGTACATGGAAATAGAGAAACAAGTACAATAGGGGAGGACCAAACCAAAGCCCCTCGAGAAAAGCTAAAAACTATTCCCTACATAAAAAACATTGCCCAAATAAAAATCAAAACCTAGGGCTACATATCATAGTCAAACCTAGATAAACATACACCAAAGCTCGTAAAACAAAATTGAAACCAAACCCAAGAATTGATAACCAACAACCATATTTAGAAGCTAAATTCTAGGATAACCAACTGAGCTTGTGTGTGATAAATTGCATCATGAACCTGCTGGTGTTTGTAGCCTTGTTCTTCACTGCCTTCCTTAAACTTGCTTCGGCTAGGACTGCCCAGGTTGTACTGGTTTGTTCATGGAGCTGTAATGGTTAAGTGCTGATGAATAGGATACAACCCATAACCTCGAATTGGCATTTGAGGTCTAAACCGGCTGGTCACTGGTTTTTAGACTCTAAATTCCTAAATTTTCAGTGATGGGCAGTGACGCCTTTGGGTCCCCACTGGCTGTTCCGTATTGAATTCGAGAAGTTGTCTCCAATCTGCATCAAATACTCGTGGATTCATGGAAAAGACAGCGGCCGTTTTTTATCCACTGCTGAATGTATACTCCGTATACTCTAATTAAAGTGGCGAGCCGTACTCCAATTTTTTAAACTGAGGCATTTTTTCTCCAAATAATAGACAGCTGTTCTTATTTCTTTGATGTCTATTAGGCGCTGTAAAATAGTGACTCTGTAGTAGTGCCGCCATGATCATCATGCTAAGTTCAATAATGCAATGTTCCTGCAATTAAGAGAACATGTATAACTTTGAATCCAAAACGCATAAAGAAACACAGAAAGCTCTAGCTCACTTAATGTATGTAGAAATCTAGACAAAACTTACAGAGTAATTAATTAATATTGACTACAACATAGTTGTATAGAACTACATACTATCCTTTTATGTATCATTATTGAAGCTGAAAGATGAAACATGTTTTCTGGGGTCTGGATCCATTTTATGAGTACCTGTAGGCTGCTTGGGTTAGGTTCCAAAAAAATCAGTCATTAGTTCATGTAACAACAACAGGAGCTTCTAGTTTTGGTATGACTTAGAACAATAGCAATAGAACACAAGAACAACTGACAAGGTAAACTATAGCAGTAGAACACAAGAACAAAGCTACTAATAGCAAACTACAGCAGTGAAGCCCATGAACAGATCTACAATGAGCCAACAACTTAACACAATATAACAACCCAAATGTCAAAAACTCGTTAAACGCTTTTGAAAACTTTAGACAATGTCCCACCAAAAACAAACCTAAAAAAACCTCAAACACTCCACAAAACCAAGCAACATAACACATTGCCCCTAGTCACACGAATGGTAGCACAACTAAAAGAAATGTAGACTAACTAAAGTAAACCAACCCAAGCTAAGCCATGTAAATGTCTTGGTAATTGACTATGCCCACCGTTTTTTACAACAAAAAACTTCCATTTAAAAACTTCCATTTATCCCTCACAAAAAAGTTCATAGAAAGATTGAGGTAACAAAAATTAAGCAAATAAATCCTCATAATTGAAGAATTAGAATATTTTCATTCATATAATTGAAGAATTTAGAGTATTTTCAAGAGATATGCAAAGAAATTCACATAATTTAACCATTAGAGTATTTTCAAGATAAAGTAAAACCTGTAAATTAGAGGCAGTAGAGATTCGGGTTGTGATGTTGGGGATCAGAAGACCACTGCCCGGTGTCGAGGTATCTCCATGGCGACGAAGAAGATAGGAGCAACGAGGATCGACGGCTCTGGCTCCAGGCATGAAGGTAAGGCGAAGCGGCGAAATTTTTTCTTCTGACCTTAATCGACGAGAGAGGGTTTTTTAGAGAAGGGAAAAGAGAAATTAGGAAGAGGGAGAAAGAAATTTAGGGGAGGGAAAATGAATTTAGGAAGAGAGAGAATAAAATTTAGGAATCTGAAGTTAAAAACAACAGTATTATTCGTTATAGATAAATAACAAAAAATCACAGTTCTCTTTACCTCTAAAAAACAGATGTCTTATTCATACGGGGACAACACTAGAATGTGGTACTCTAAAACAACACAAAACAGGTGTCGTCAACCATTTTACACAAACAAAAAACAACAACAACCCAGTTAAATCCCACAAGAGTAGGGTCTGGGGAGGGTGTGTGTACGCAGACCTTGCCCCTACTCGAAAGTAGAGAGGCTGTTTTCAAAGAGACCCCCGGCTCAACGTCGAAAGTTGCATTGCTTGACTAACTGCTACTTCATTAATTAAAGAAGCGCAAATAGTTTAGATATCCATTTTGATTTATTCCATCACACCACAATTGTTTTTAAACAATAGTTTGTAAATATATCATACAACTGCTCGGAAGACTACTAAAATCAGCACCGAGAGACTACTAAAAAAACAGTTGTCAGCATCTGTTTTTGACGTAGTGAATTTTTATAATATAATAATATTAATAATAATTATAATAACTTGTACCCCAAATTTCCTACACCTATACGGACTACTTCAAAACCCCAAACCTTCCCTACCCAAACACATACTCCATATAATATAGTGAAATTTGCACTAAATAGGACTAAAACATAAGTCATTTCACAATGTGAGACTTAAACTTTTTTATTCCCTAAATAG